GCTTGCTCGGGGAGCCTTCGCGTTGTGCACGTCAAATCCCGTTCCCGCGGCTTCGAATGATCTTGTGATGTTATGATCATCCGGCAAGAGTCTTGACGCCTGATGGGTCAAGTCTTGAACATCTTCTAGAGCTCCTTCCGTTAAGCTCCTGTCCTCATCCAAGTTGCTAGCTCCGATGTCCTCATCAGTGACCCATGTGCATATGTCGTGCAGGTTTCCCAAGTTTGTAGAATATATGCAGAAAGAAGAACTTGATCCCGAGAAATGGGCAAGGGCAAAATTTACACGTCAAAGATATAATTTATTTATTACAAATGGGGCTGAATCGATTAACTCCGTATTGAAGAAGGCAAAAAGGTTTCCGTTGCTTGGGTTGTTTGATATTTGTCTTGGAAAGACTGTGGAATGGTTCAATAGGCATAGAATGGAAGCAGGTTCAACTGATGACTCTCATAAGCTGACACCGTTTATTGATAAAGTGTTTCATGAACGGTACGAGATAACATGTACATATGAGGTAATTGTGTTGAACAGTTCTATGGACGAGTTTGAGGTGAGAGATAAAATGGGTAGGAAACACTTGGTGAGTCTAGAGGATAGATCATGCAGTTGTAAGATGTTTGACATAGACAAATATCCATGCAGTCACGCAATCGCAGTAGTCCACAAGACTGGCAGAGACAATATTATACCGGGCTTATGCTCTCCATACTTTCTCCGGGAGACATGGCGGTTGGCTTATCAAGAAACGGTTTATCCGGTTCCTGATTGTTGTGATTGGATCATTGACGATCCACGGGATGCAAACCTCATGGTATTACCTCCGATTGTGGAAGATAAACGCAAAACCGGTAGACCCAAACAAAATCGGTTTCCAGGTCCCAGCGAACCGCGGACAAAGCATTCAAAGAAGGACAAATAAAGATATTGCATAAATAATATGATTGTATGATTTCATTTAGTTCTCGTGACCCATGTGATTGTATATATTTTCCAGAAGGACATCTATTTGAATAAGGTGATTTTCTTTGCACTAGTACCGTGTTAAAGTCTTGAATAGATAGAAAAAAGTTTTGAACTGTGTAACCCATGTGACTCACCCGTGACCCATGTGACCCGAAGACATTTTTACACTGTGTGATCCATGTGACCCGTGACTCAGTGGCACTTATAAAACACGGTCAAATCTCGATTTTAAAGTGTTAAAATGGTTTATATGATGTTTTACAATGATAATATGGTATCTGCAAGTTAAATTCGTTAACATAAGTAAGAGTTATATGAACATTAGTATAATTTATTCATAAGTTGTCATGAAACACTAGTATCACTTATGGATTATATTTGCATGAGTGACTTGAATATGAAAATTGAAAGGAATGTGATTTTAAAGTTGTTATTGATGTTAAAATCCATGATTAATCACTGCATAACCATACCAAGTCACTAATTCGATAAATTCGACCCATGTGACCTATGTGACCCATGTGACTCACCCGTGACCCGTGACCCATGTGACCCGTGTAACCCGTGTGACCCGTGACTCATGTGACTCATGTGACCCGCGTGGCCCATTGGACTTATGTTTTTTTTCTTTCTCATTTCCAAGTAAAAGTAAAATCCAAAATACGAAAGAGCTTACAAAAACTGAGTTTACAAACTACGAAAGAGTTCGCAATAAATAACGGGTCAATTCACAATTTTACCATTACAAAATATATCGATAGCCAATTTTTTACGGATCAGTATGGTCCCATCGCATATCGACATGAATTCTGCTCCCTTGTTCAACATTATTCCCTCCACGTATTTTGCAGCAAAAACACCGGAATCAGAACCTGTTGCATTTTTATGAAGCCCAATCTTGTACTGAACCTCAAGCAAATCTCCTTTACAGAAAAATTTCGTCTTAGCAAGGACGTATGCATGCGGTATGAGATGAGCTAACTTCTGAACAACCTTATCCACATTCTCCCGCAGTCTCGGTTGGCAGTTGTATACTTTAAGTACTTTGTCCCTGATATCCACTTTAATGGCAACCCTATGATAGGGAATCTTGGGGTCTGTGGGTGAAGGGATGTTCACAACAGTTAGAAGAACATCATACTTCTGCAACGACTTATGTACAGCTCCAACTGGACGTTTTCCGGAGAAGTATTTCTCAAGACAACCCAGCTTGGACAGGTCCCCACTCTCTTCCCACCGCATGATGGTCTCCGAGAAGTATAGATCACATATGCAACAGTTAGAGATCACGGTTTTACCAGAGTACTTCGAATAGTTGCACCGAAATGCACACATTGCCTCTTCTATATGCTGTCAAAGAAAAACAAAAACAAGTTAGAGATGACCCGTGTGACCCGTGACCTATTTAATGGGACCTTACCTCATCTGTGAGCCATTTCCCGCCCTCCAAAATAATTTCAAAAAACTTTGAATCTCTAGTTGCATTCAAATTAGACTTCCATAGCCTTTTCTCTCGGGGCATATTCATAAATTTCCAAAGAATACTCGCTTTTAGAGTGGACGATGAAAAAAAGGATGTCGTCCTTTCGAGGCTGTCACCATTAACTCCTTCAGGTTGCCAGACAAAGTATGCAACCTCAGATTCTTCGCCTTCTGATTCCGGTTTCTTTGGTTCTTCATGCTGTTGTGTACCCCTGCCTCTGCTACTTCCTCTGCTCCTTCCTCTCCCCCTTCCTATTCTTCCTCTACCTCTGACAAGTTTCTTGCAACGTTTATTCTATGATAGCCCAGGATACCGTAGGAGGGCAGGGAGTGATCGCCGGTGCGAGAGGCATGGACAATGGGTGGCCCCTGACGAGCTTCTGGGTAGGGGGTACAGGAATGAATCGGACGCACCGGAATGAGAGGGATCCGAGGGCTGTGTAGGTATGGGACTACACAGTCTAAGATAACTTAAAAGAATTAATTGAGCTACTCATAACAACAAGATGCATTTACCTTTTCGGTTGCCCATCTCGAGAGAACTCCAAAGTTAAGCGTGCTGGCCTTGGAGTAGTCTTAGGATGGGTGACCTCCTGGGAAGTACTTTCCGGGATGTGTGTGAGTGAGGACAAAACACGCAAAAAGGTCCCGTGTTGGTGTGTGGGGACAGCTCTATCATTCTGTAGCGGCTTCGGGTTGTTACAAATGGTATCAGAGCCGGTTCTCTCCCAATACGATGTGGTTCGAGGACGAACCAAGCGGAAGCTGGTGGGCCTGTGACAGCCCAGGATACCGTAGGAGGGCGGGGAGTGATCGCATGTGCGAGAGACATGGACAATGGGCGGTTCCTGACAAGCTTTTGTGTAGGGGGTACAGGAATGAATCGGACGCACCAGAATGAGAGGGATCCGAGGGCTGTGTAGGTGTGGGACTACACAGTCTAAGATAACTTAAAGGAATTAATTGAGCTACTCATAGCAACAAGATCCATCTACCTTTTCGGTTGCCCATCTCGAGAGAACTCCAAAGTTAAGCGTGCTGGCCTTGGAGTAGTCTTAGGATGGGTGACCTCCTGGGAAATACTTTCCGGGATGTGTGTGAGTGAGGATAAAACACGCAAAAAGGTCCCGTATTGGTGTGTGGGGACAACTCTATCATTCCGTAGTGGCTTTGGGTCGTTACATATTCTTTGCAGGGGGTTCACTCGATTCTGGTTCAACATATGGACTTCTTTTTTCCGGCCCTTGTCTTTGTTTTCTTTTCAAAGGAAATCTGAGTAGTGAAGTTTCAGAGCTAGAGTTACCTTCTACGGTACCAGACGTTGGGACTGCTTGAGGGATTTCCTTTGGGGTTTCAGATGGAGCTATGTCATCCTGGCCTTCTATTGGGGTTTCAGAAACTTTTGGGAGATTCAAATCAACAATCCCAGCCTCTAAACCCTCCTCACAAGCTTGAGGGAGATCCACATCAACATTCTTACCCTTAGAACCCTCGTCACAAGCTTGAGGCAGATCCACATCAGCATTCCCACCCTTAGAACCCTCGTCACAAGCTTGAGGCAGATCCAATCACAAGCTTGAGGCAGATCCACATCAGCATTCCAACCCTTAGAACCCTCGTCACAAGCTTGAGGGATATCCACATCAGCATTGTCAGCCTTAGAACCCTGCTAGAAGCTTGAGGGAGATCCACATCATCATTCGCAACCTTGTTACTTTTCTCAACAGCTTCACAGAGATCCACATCAACATTCCCAGTTTGAGGGATATCCATACAAACATCTGCTCCTCCAGCATGGCCTTTAGAAGTTGCAGTGTCCCCCCACACTTCATCATTCCTAGGTTGCACTCTATACGAATAGTTCGCAGAGAAATGACCAGACTGTTTCATAATATCTTTCAAACAAGCAATTAACCTCGTCTCAGATGCTTGGATCGCTTGACCCATGTGATCAATGATCCTTGCCTCGGATGCTTTGATCTCCTGTTTATGAACTTCTCTAATGCATCCACTCTTGAAACTGCCGATCCTTGCATTCTTGGAGGTTCACCCTCAACCTGAGTCTCTTCTTCTTGAATTTCTTCTTGTTCTTCTTCTACTTCTTCATCATCATCTTCTTCAACTATCTTAGCTTTTCCCTTTTTCAAAGAAGCTTTGCATCTGGCATCAAGCTCACGGATGCTATCCCAACAGATGCTTTGCGGATTCAACTGCAAATGTTGCATCCATACACTGATCTTTGGATCACTACTTCCATTGTAATCCTACAGATCATACAGAAGTGCTTCTTCATCCTTTCCCACTTGTAAAAAAAATGTCACTTTTGAGCCGTGTGACCCATGTGACTCATGTGACCCAAGTGACCCTTGATCCATGTGACCCGTGACCTGTAACCCGTACCTGTGATTCAATTCCAATCTTATCCATTATAGCAGGGAAGGTTTATCTAAGCCCGGGTTTGATTACCCTCTTGAACATTCTAGGACAGCTTGGGTCTGCACCTGAAACATCTGTGTACCATCCGTTGGCACCCAAGCTTTCAATGCACTCAAAAGGCAGCAACTGCAACATAAAAAAAACTTATCAAATCAATCCAACTTTTAAATAATTTCCTCGTAATTTAATAAATAACTTACCATCAGAGGGATTATAAACCCCGGGCAATGCCATTTTGTCTTTGGTTTCGCACCGAGACTCTTTCGCACTTGATCAACTATTCGATCAAAAGTGTATTGACCCCACGGAAATCGTTCACGGAAACGTAAATCATCAACCATGTCGATCAAATCATGGCTGATTTGTTCGGATGACAGGGCATGATCCAAGATTCCGGTCATCAAGCATAGAGTAGCCAATCTCTTACGATCTGCTGCCCTCTAGGTTGGCATATATCTCAATTTCTCCACCACATCATTCAAACAAACTTTCTTACGTCCGAAAGTCTTTTTCCTGAAGTCACTCTTTTTGAAGTTCTCCCATTCTTCTGGATATTTTCCACACTTCAAACCACATATAAGTGTGTTGCTCAATGATTGAGTACCTCACGTGCACACCATTGAGCACGAACCACAATTCCTTCTCGTCTTCCGCTTTAACAGAGTGGTTAATGAGAATCCCGCAGGCGCCATCTTTAACTGTGGATCCCATTGCGCGTGGAATAGATGTTGGAACTGTGATTCTTTCGCGAAGTACGTCCATTCATCCTGTGTTAGTACTTCTTTAAGCGTCTTCAGCGTCTCATAGGGATAACACTTCGTATTGATCTTCGAAGAAAACTGAATGTCTTCGAATTTGTAAACAAATGGAAGCTGCAAAATAAA